GGAGGGGTCAGTGGACTGTGGCCTCAGGTGGTATAGGATGAGAAGGTGGTTAGTTAAGGCATGGATGTGGAGGTCAAATGTTTACATGTCAACCTTTACATGGTTCTGGGAATCAAACTCAGGTCATCATGCTTGATTCCCCCTGGAATGAAAGGTACTCTCTGTAGGACCATGATACCATGTACCTCCTTCCCCAAAGCCACTGTACCCTCCCCATACCTTCAGTGGACTGTGACAGTCCCACTGGAAGACTTGAGCATGTTTGATTGGTTGGCCTCAAGTACGAAAGAGCTGATGTAGTTCATAGTTCACAGTCCGCTGCTGTCATCAGTCCACCACAGAACCTCTCTTGTTTTCTCTTTCTCATTTTCCCCATTCCTTTCTCCTGTGCTCAGTGTAAATCCTTGGACATGTTTGTATCCTAGAAAAGTATACAGTATCATGATACTATTTTATATAAATAGTATGTGTATATGTAACATACATATACACATAAGTAGTATGTGTATATATAATGTATATACATCATATATACACATACACAGCTATTGAGACAGTGCCTCTGGTAAGCTAGGCTGGCCTGGAACTTGCTTTGTAGCCAAGGATGACCTTGAACTCCTGATCCTCCTTCTGTACATCCTAATGCTAAGATTACAAAATCAAGCCACCACACTTTTGACTCAACAGCTAAGAGTACTTGCTGCTCTTGCAGAGGCCCTTGGCTTTTTTCTCAGCACCTACATCAGGGCATTCACAACCACCAGAGGAGATCCTGTGGCCTCTCTAGCCTCCTCAGCACTTACATGTATGTGATACACATTTAGATCCACACATATGCAAATAAATTCTTAGGAAAGATCTAAGAACTGAACATGGAACACATTCATTGCTTACATCAGTTGTGGTACATCCTCTCCTCTGCCCATTTCCTTACCTTGTCATCCAGGGAAAGATATTGAAATTGTTGCCAATTCTTTATTTCCCCAAGGGAAGCTGCTGAGTGTTTCTTTCCCTCTTCTCTTATAGACCTGTGCCAAGATCGAGGCAGTTCCCCAGGTACTTGGCCAGGTATGCTTCTGCTGCTTCATAGCACACACTTGAATCACACTTACTCTAGTAAGTTCCACTACCTCACCTAGTTCATATTTTACTATTCCTTAAATCTATACTACATCTGTAATTACCTCTCCTTCTCAGCCTGCATTTTGTTTGTATCTCCTCTTTCTTGTCTGCTTTTAGTCCTTTCCAAGAATGGGGTTTTTGATTTGACGTTTCTGAAATATCATGTAGCAGTGATACATGCTCTTGGGCCAAACATAACCTGTTTCTTGTTTAACCATGTACTAGCAGTGTGACCTTGGACACATTGCTTAGCCCATGTATTTACTTCCTCACTTGTGAAATGGGAATAACAGTCCTTCCCAGTAGAGCGAGTGTGAAGAATCAGATTAGAAAAGTTACCCAAAGTGCATGAGTTCTTGGAGACTATTTAGTAAATGTCCACTCCCATCATCAGTCTACACTAGTCATGGCACCCCAGAGAAACAGAATCAACAGTGTGTATATATACAGAGATGGGGGAGAAGGAAGAAACACTTGATTTTTTTTTTTTTTTTTTTTTTTTGGTAGTATTGTTGGATGATGGTGTTGATAAAGATGATGCCAGGTTATGTCATGAACTTTCTGTACATACCAAGATGGCCATGAACTCCTGCTTCTCTTGCCTCCACCTTCTTAAAGCTAGAATTACAGGTGTATATACCACACCTGACTAGAGAGATTACTTTTTAGATGAAAGTCTAAAACCTCAGGATAAACCAGCAGGCTAGAAACCTAGGGGAGAGTTGTAGTCCAACTGCAAAGGCATATGACTTGTAGAATTTCTTCTTGTTCAGGAGAACTCGGTGTTTGTCTATGAAGGCCTTGACTAATTAGAGAAGCCCCCCCCCCCCACGTCTGCCATACAAACACAATAGAGGAGAGTCTTCACAGAAACATCCAGAATGGTATATCACTAAATATCTGGACTCTGTGGCCCAACCAAATTACTGGGAAATTAAGATCCATAGTGCCTCAGAGTCTTTGCTAGAGCTGTGCCTTCTGTCAGAAATGTTCACTTTGTAGGTCCCTCAAAGCAAGGAAGGTACAGTTACCCTGTCTCGGCCTGGTGCTCCTGGCCAGAGCACACTCACAACATAGCAGCCCAGCTAAGTTCCCTGCTCAGTTCTCACCCCAATCCTTTCTTTTCCCTATTTCTTTCTCACCCAAGGACACCTTATTCATTGTAAGGCTTGTTTTATTCTTCTCCTTTCCTGGCTAAAAGCAGCACTTGCCTGTCTCTCACTGCACATCACATGTTACTGTGAAACTCTTAAGATGTTTATCTCTTTCACCTTATGCCTTAGTTATTTTGTGTAAGTGGCTTATCATCCTGGTGGCAATAATAACTTATCTGTCTCAGATCCTCACTGTGTCTATGAGGGCCCAGCAATCATCATGTGGGTGTTAATGACTGGCAAATGGAAGAGCTAGAAAGCAGGGTGGTGGTGGTACACACTTTAATCCAGCACACGCCTTTAATCCCAGTATTTAGGAGGTTGAGGAGGCAGAGGCAGGTGGATCTCTGTGAGTTTGAGGCCATCCTGGTCTACAGAGTGAGTTCCAGGACAGCAGCCAAGGCTACACAAAGAAATCTTGTCTTGAAAACAAACAAACAAACAAAGAAAAAAAAACAAGGAAGAAGAAAGAAAAGAAAAACAAAGAAAGAGTTAGAGAAAGCAGTAAGTGACATTGTAGGAAGTGAGGGAATAGAGAGACCTCAGAGGCTGGAATTTGTAGTGTAGTGTAGTGTGAAGATGGTGATGGTGTTGTAGGTGATAGAAGTTTATTGAATGTACCACCATGACCCAGCGAGCCATTGAGTTCATAACACATTGAGATGAGCACCTTTTTTTTTTTTTTTTTTTTTTTTTTGGTTTTTCAAGACAGGGCCTCTCTGTGGCCTTTGGAGGCTGTCCTGGAACTAGCTCTTGTAGACCAGACTGGTCTCAAAGATTCGCCTGCCTCTGCCTCCTGAGTGCTGGGACTAAAGGCATGCATCACCACCACCTAGCTAGATAAGCACCATTATTATCTCCATTTTCCTGTCAAGGAGTCCAGAGTGCTGGAGTTGGCCTGGCTAAAGAGTCTGTATTTTCAACTACTGATTGAGGACTCAGTATGTGTTGGATGTGTGTGGCACTATACATGCCTTATCTCTAATACTCATGGCCAATTATAAAGTACAGGGCATCTCAATTTTGCAGATGAGGAAACAGGCTCACTGTGGTTAAGTATCTTACCTAAGGTCATATAAGTAGAAAGTGGTGGGTCTACAGTGTTTGGGGCCCACAAGAAACCCCTTTAAGATAGGACAGGGATGGTTTGTGCAGGGAAATGGGAACAACTCAAGTTAGAAAACTGGGTCTTCACAAATGAACACACAGGCGCAGTCAGGGGAACCTGAAGAAGAAGGAAGGAAGGTCGTCTATAGGAGCCAAGGGGCCAAGGACACCCTGAGAACATGACCCACAAAATCAACTAAGAAGGGCTTATAGGAGCTCATGGAGACCCGTGACAAACATGGACCCTGTATGCATCTGAGCTAGGTCCTCTGCATATACCTTGTGGTTATATAGCTTGGTGTTCCTGTGGGACTCCCATCAATGAGGCGGGGGTATCTCTGACTCTTTTACCTGCACTTGGGGCCCCTTCCCTCCTATTGGGTTGCCTTGTTCAGTCTTGATTATAAGAATTTGTGCCCAGTCTTATATCTTTTTCAGGGGGAGGGAGGCTTTGAGACAGGGTTTCTCTGTGTAGCTTTGGAGCCTGTCCTAGAACTCTCTCTGTAGACCAGGCTGGCCTCTAACTCACAGAGATCTGCCTTCTTCTGTCTCCTGAGTGCTGGGATTAAAACTGAGAGCCACCAATGCCTGGCTCCAGTTTTGTATTTTGTAAGTTCATGTTGTTTGATGGATATCCCTGGGGAAACAGAGGAGGAGTAGGTGTGGGGGAGAGGGAAGCTGGGGGAAGGATTGGGAGGAGTGGAGGGAGGGGAAACTGCAGTCTGAGTGTAATATATGAGAGAAGAATAAATGTTTTAAAAAAGGAAAGCTGGGGAATTAGAGAGATAGCTCAGCAATTAAGAGCACTGGCTGCTTTCCCAGAGGTCCTCAGTTCAATTCCCAGCAAACACATGGTGACTCAATCATCTATAGTGGGATCTGATGGTCTCTTTTGGCATAAAGTTGTACATGCAGATAGGCACTTATATTCATAAAATAAATAAAACTAAAATAAAAACAAAACAAAACAAAAAACAAAAAACAAATTGGGTTTTCCCTGAGGTGAAAAAGGCCTCTGCTTCTAAGGGAACACACACAATCAGGGCTGGTTTTTGTATGTGAGGGCTCCAGAGTACTGTTTTTAATTTGATGATGGGGTAGGAGGGAAGGCTGAGCATCAGAGGTCAGGGGTACCTGGCCAGCTCTAGCCCTATCAGCATTAGCACCAGGGCTGTGCAGAACTTTGCATAGCTGTAGGGAGGTAGAGTGCCCTGACCTTCTGAGACAGTGATGTTTATGCAGATCTGTGGCCAATGGGAATGAACCCCTCCCTCACACCTTTGCCATAACATCTCCTCATATCTGCTCTTTCTATGTGGCAGCAGGGGCAGCTCTCTCCAGGCTCCCAGCCCTCTCCTGAAGGGTTCTGGAAATTTCCAGAGCAGGCTGGGATTTATCCAGGATGAAGTAACAGCAACAGTATTTGTACTCTCGGGCCCCTCACTGGGTTCAGTGTGCTCTCAAATGTGGGTACCTGGAGAATCCAGAAGTGGTGGCAGGTAGGTTTTTTGTCTCTTGGCCATCAGTTGCCCCAAAGCAAGGTGGTCCTCTCTGGGCAAGTATGTCTCAGAACATGTATCAGTTACAAGATGTCTCAGCAGTGCCTTCTCTGTCCAGGTCATTGCTGTCGTCATGGATCTTTTCACTGATGGGGATATATTCCAAGATATTGTAGATGCTGCCTCTAAGCGACGGGTCCCTGTATACATCATCCTGGATGAGGCAGGAGTGAAGTACTTTTTGGAGATGTGCCAGGGTCTGGAGCTTGCTGATTTCCGCATTCGGGTGAGTTGTACCACTGGGACAGGCTGTGGTCCAGAGATGAGATGGGAAACTCCTTCTGCCCTTCCTTTGTCTCTTCCCCCTTCCTCCTCCCAAGCTCAGGTTAAAGTTCAAGATCCTAATATATTTCCTTCTAGGTAAAACCATGACTCAGGAACTTGTAACTGCTTGCTTATATATCCTTAATACTTTTTTGTTGTTCTAGAGATGCCAAGGCTAAAGGAGGCAGCTCTCACCCATTCCTAGGATGTTCAGTCTATAGAACCACTGGCTTTACTGTCAGGTTCAGCATAAGGCTGTAATTCTCTGATCAAGAACTTTGAGCAAGAACTCTCCTGAGCTTGTTAAAAGTAAAACATGTAAGGCTGAAGGAAGCAGAGAATTTTGGAAAGACTTGAGCAGCTGTCAGGGTCTGTGGACCTCTCCCAAAGCAAGACTTGGTGCAGAGCCTAGAGGCCTCCCCAGGAAGAGCAATGGTGTCTTTCTCTTCTCTACAGAACATCCGTGTCCGTTCTGTGACAGGGGTTGGCTTCTACATGCCCATGGGGAAGATCAAGGGGACTCTCTCATCGAAGTTCCTGATGGTAGATGGGGACAAAGTAGCCACTGGATCTTACAGGTGTGTTGGACTAGGATAGGGGGGTGCCCAGGAGACCTGTATTCATGGTAATTGTTCAGGAATGTGCTAGCCTAGAACTTCCACAGTCATGGTTATTTTTTTGTTTTGTTTTATTTTTTTTTTCTTTTTTATGTACTTTTTCTTTTTAAGTATGAGTACTCTGTCTGCATGTATCCCTGCAGGCCAGAAGAGAGCATCAGATCCCATTTTAGATGGTTGTGCACTACCATGTGGTTGCTGGGAATTGAACTCAGGACCTCTGAAAGAGCAACCAGTACTCTTAACAACTGAGCCATCTCTCCAGCCCCTGCAGTCATGGTTTTAAGAGGCATTGTCTGTCTTGGTCAAAAACAGCCTCCTACCCAGTTCCTTTCTGTTGACAGATTGATTATTCCAGAAAGAAGACCAACTCTTCCTAGGCAGTAAGCATTGCCTGCTTGTCATGGTCCTCAGCAGCTGATTGTATCTTGAGGCTGGTTTGGGGTGGGGTAAGAAGGAAATAATAGGGACAAGGTCTGGGGAAGCAATGTGAGGTGTTGTCTTAGTTACTTTTCTATTCCTGTGACAAGGCACCATTACCAAAGTAACTTAAAAAAGCATTTCATTTCGTGGCTAGAAGGTTAGGGTTCATGGCCACCATGGTGAGGAGTGTGGCCGCAGACAGGAGTGTTTCTGGAGTAGTGGCTGAGAGCTCCCATCTTATCCCTAAGCACCAGGCAAAGAGAGCTACCTGGAAATGACTTGGGTTTCGGGAACCTCAGTGCCCACTCCCAGTGACACACCCCCTAGGTGTGAGATAAGACCACACTGCTAATTCTTGCAAACAGTTCTATCAACTGGGGACTAAGCTTTCAAATATATGAGCCTGTGGGGGCCATTCTCATTCAAACCACCACAGATGTGGCACAGAAAGATAACTCCAGAATTTGAGTTGAAAACAAAGTACCAGGTATACGAGAGCCATCTTTTTCCTCTGAAAAAGTAAAAATCTAAGTGAAACTTGAGCATATGTAACAATAAATAAATGGTCTGAGTCCTCTGGAAGGATCTTGGAAGGATCAGTAGGGGTGAAACACTGCTAGTGATGGCACAGCTTAATTCTGATGTATTGGCATATGTTTGTACCAGGAAGTGTGCTGGGTATTTCATTTGAGCCTCAAAGCTTTGAGACAAAGACCTGCCATGTTCTACCTTCTATGGCATGTTCTACCTTAGGCCCTCTAAGCCACATTGTACTAGACACATGGGAAGAGTGGATGTGGATTCAGGTTTGATTTTCAAGTCCCATGGGAAAGAAGGGGGAAGGGAGAATTTGGCCTAGGGAAAGGAGAGCAATCCAGGGTGAGGGCAAGAGGCACTTTTCACCAGGCATCAGACAGTATGGCCACAGTGACAGAGCAGGTTGAAGGGAGGAGCTACTGGTAGGACAGTGGAGAGATCTGGGCCCACCTATGTCTGTGCTTTGTGTCCCCAGCTTTACCTGGAGCTCCTCCTATGTGGACAGGAACCTTCTTTTGCTCCTGACAGGGCAGAACACAGAGCCCTTTGATGTAGAGTTCCGGGAGCTGTATGCCATCTCTGAGGAGGTGAACTTGCACCAGCACCTGGGTCTGGCAGGCAGGCTTGGCCTCAACTACTCTTCCACTGTAGCTCGAAAACTTATCAACCCCAAGTATGCCTTAGTGGCAAACAGCCACCCTCCTCCAGGAGAGATGATGCGCTGGGCGGCCCGGCAGCGGCAGGAAGCTGGTGGCAATGCAGAGGGACAGGAGGACAGTGGAGGTGGTGAGTCTGCCCGGCGTCTGGAGAGCTTTCTGAATGATCTGGTTACAATAGAACAGGTATTACCCACAGTGGAGCCCATTCCCTCAAGATTGCTGAGACCAAAGGATGGCAGGACGGTCTCTCAGGTGCATGTAGACCTGAGGCACAAATCCCGAGAGGCACTCCCCCAGAATGGCAAAGGAGAATCTGCCAATGGAGAGGCCACCCCAGCCAAGGAGAGCAGACGCTTGAGCAACAGGATCTTCAGCCGAAGAGTAAAAAGGTCTGCGGTATTGAACAACATGACCCCCTCCACTGAGACTCTTGCGGATGTGGAGTATCCTCTGGGGAAGAGGCCCAACGAGGGTTCCAATGCCAACATATCAGGTGAGCCTGCCATTGAACCTGGTGACCCTGGACTAGTCAGTGCAGGTCCAGTTTCAGATTCCTCATCTCTGAGGGAAGAGTGATACATGCCTTGCTTGGTGTTTAGCACAGCAGTAGGCATGGGATGGCCTAGGAGGACTCTCTTACTCCTCCATGGTATTCAGATCACCTTCATAGTAGCTTCAGTAAAGAAGGAAGTGTGACAAGTTTTCCTTTTATAAATGATAAAACAGTGCACAGCACTGGCTGTGAGTCTAGGGCTCCTTCTGGCCATCCTGCTCCTTGTTGTCATCAGACATACCCAGTCCCACTAGTCCTCCTAGTTTCCATGATAATAGTTAGAACCATTTTCCCCATGTCTGATTGTAAAGTGGATTTGCCCTCTGGGAGAGATTGGTGATGTGGAGCAGTGGCATCTTTTCTAACCATCTCTCTGGGATCTCCTTGAAGCCATGTCTTTTTTCTCTTTCTCCAGAGCAGTCTCCAACGTGACTTTCAGTAGTCTGGTAGTGACAAGCAGGCTGCTGTGGAGCCTTCCTTCTCAGCTTCCCTGAGTTGGAAAGACTTCTGTGCTGGGATTTTTCTTCCTGTGGTTGCAGGGCTTTGCAGTGATGAGAACTGAGCTTCCTGGCTGGCTTACTATGTGAAAACTGATTGTGAAGTATCTGTCCTGGGCTGCCTGGGGACTCCCAGGACTCAGGTATCCCATAGACTTGACTCAATCAATGACATAGAGCAGGGAAGTCACCACTTTTCTCCTAACTAGAAGCATGTGGTGTCCTGTTGAACTCAGGGATGTAGCTCCCTCTTAGAATAGGTCTAGGGGTGTCTGCAGTGTGGCACAGTGTGAATACTAGGACCACTCCCTCCCATCCCCACCCACCTCACTCCCCGGCTGCCTCCAGTGGGCCCACACTGCACACTGCTTGAGCAGCTTGGCAGGCCAGGTTCCACACACCCTCCTCATCGATGACCCACATAAGTCTAGCTGCAGGTGGACACTGGGAGAATTGCATTAAGGACTGTAAACATGGATCAAAGCCAGGACTTGTCCTTGTCCTATCAAGTGAAGAGTGTCTGGTTCCCCATTCCCATTCCCCTTGGGCTTCCCTGACTCCCCAGCACCAGATGCTGATGTGCTCTGTGTCTCTTGTTTGGAAGGAGGGTTGCCATGGTGAACACCTGGCAAGGAAAAGGAGGGAGCAAGCCCAACCACAAAGGGGCTGTTTCCCAACTCCTGACTGGAAGTGAGGTGGAAGCCTTCTCTTCTCCTGCCCCTCACCCTTAGGTGCTGTTTCCATAGAAACACAAAGTCCATTGTCTTGTCCCTTCCTGCTGCCTCTGGTGTCTGATTCACCTGCTTAGATGACTTGGGCAGTTAGTGTTTGCTATCCCTGCCTATCTCTGAGCATTTATTTGTTCATGATGCTCTGGAGCCAACTAGCAGATCCCATTGTGCCTTTGGGAGCTCCTGCTCCAGAGCACCAAGCCCCCTAAGCAGAAGAAGGGCTGGGTAAGAGTGGCTAACACACATAGGAAAGTCTGAAGTGTGTCGTCCCCACTTCTAGCCTGGGGAAGAACATAGAGGTAGAACCCTCCCCAAAAACATACTCTTGCCACCCCACCAAGGTCTGAAATCCTAGTTCTCTACTGAGACCTCTAGCTCCTGCCTCTTTCTTGCTTGAAGGAAGAGTCAAGAAGCTGTGTTTCTCCTCCCCAAGGCTCTCCCTATATTTCCCAAGCCCTAGGCTCAGGGACATCCTGTGCTTCCCTCAAGGTGGCAGCCACTGAGGAGCTGACTACACACCTAAGAACATAGCATGGCCGCCATCCTGGGTCACCTGGAGCTTGAGTTGGATTGGAACCACTTGAGTTGCTTCCTCAGAGAAGGAACCCATCCAGGTTCCTTCCCACAGGGAGCATTCAAGCTGAGACAGACAGGGGCAGCATGATCTTAGCTCTTGACACATTGCCTTCCCCTCTTCAGGGCTGTCTCCTCTTCTAGAGAATGGGTAAACTGGGGAGGGCTTCTGAGGTCCCTTTGAGTTGGTGCTGACTGTCCTATCTGTCTTTGTACCCTCTTGTCAGAAAGAACGTGGGTGGATGACAGGGTGGGTGAGAGAAAGATAGGAAAAGCTAAGAGCTGACAGCCTGTAAAATTGCTTGATAAGAAGTATATAGTTGTCAAACAGCATGCAAATTTTTGCAAACCCAGGTGTGGCCCTAGGGAGAATCTCAGAGAATCTCCTCCTTTGGGGCTGGGGGAGGGGAGAGGGGGAAGGGCACCGCAATGGCTTCAGCCTGGCAGTTTGAAGACCCAGAGCCCCCTCTAGTGGCTCAAGCTGGGTGTCCTCTGCTGTTTGCTTTTCCACTAACTAAACCATGTCCTCACTGGATTATTAATGTCTGCCTTCCTGGCCACTTGCCACCTGTGCCCATACAGGATCTCTGGGAAGGCTCTCTGAGAGAGATTTCCCACTCTCAGGAGAGCACAGCCAGGGGTACCCTATTTTAAAACCCTGTGATTAGAGTCTACACTGCTGGGTTGGGCTCCGAAATCTGCATTCTTTAAAACCACTATGAAACAGGACTTAGTCAACTAAATGTATCTTTCTCTGGATGGCATTCATCATATTGGTAATGTTAGTGGTGCTGACAGGAAAAAGAAAAAAACACTTTGGAAACCAAAGCTTTTATCATTGCTGTTGCCATGAAGATCCATTTCATCTTTTAACTAGTCCCCACTGCCAAGAATTTGAAATTAAACACTGAATAAAATAAGAAGCATAACATAGGAATGCCAGTGTCAAAGAAATTCATGTAACAAAATAGTGGATTTCAGGATCTCCAGCACATGAACACATTCAGTGCTAGAATATGATGGCTGCCGTGACCCTTCCCTGTTTTTCCAGGTGGCACATGGCAACAGGTACATTAGCAGGCCATGAAGCACTGACAGTAGGCATCTGCATTTTGAACAGGAGTATTGGTTTTCCCACAAAGCTCTCCAATGCAGAAGGGTCTTCAGACTAACACCAATGCAGTTAATTATGGGAGACTCGGGCAAAGCTCTGCCCTGGGGGAGTCACTAGTCTAGACAGGGAGGTCCTATGTGTTGTTCTTGAACTCCTAGGGGGATCATTGGAAAATGGACAATGCTCTCGCTCTCTCTCTCTCTCTCGTTTTTTTTTGAGAGAGGGTTTTTCTGTATTGTTTTGGAGCCTGTCCTGGAACTCACTCTGTAGACCAGGCTGACCTTGAACTCACAGAGATCCTCCTGCCTCTGCCTTCCGAGTGCTGGGACTAAAGGCATGTATCACCAACACCCAGCTGACAATGGTTTTCTAGTGTTAAAGGGGACAGAGTGAAATGCTGTCACTCAGAACTCAGGTGGTTTTTGCAAGTGTTTGCCTGATGGTAGTATCCCACCAATAAGATCCTTGAACTCCAGAAGGGCCAACCCCATGTCCATGGACAGGCTGGGAGGAAGGACAGCATGATCCCTGCCTCCCAGAGCCTCCTCAGAGCAGTTGCAGCTGTCTCTAACAGGTTAGAGCTGATACCATTTCCCCATTTCTGTGGAGACTGGAAGGCCTGTAAGGCTGTGAGGCTCCTGGATTTGGGGACTTCAGGCTTTTCTATGTTTCCCTATGGGGCTAGTGATCTTTGATGTCTTGCCTGGAAATCTGAGTCCTCCTCAGGGGTGGACTAGCAGGGAAGTGCTTCGGATCTGTGGCCCCTGTTCTTGGGATTTTTTCACTCAAGTGTTGCTCCTGGGAAGCATGGGTCAGGCCCCAGATGGTGTGGAATCTGTTGTCATATCTGATTATCCTGAGCCCTGTGACCAACATAGGATTCTGGTCACACAGCTGAGGTAAGCTAACTCTGCTCCAAAGATGAGGTAGCTGCAAAGTTCATACATGTATGGTTTATTTCATTTTATGTGTTTGAGTATTTTTTCTGCATATATAGATGTGCATTGTATGTGTGCGTGGAGCCTACATAGTTCAAAAGGTGGCATTGGATCCCTTGGAACTGGATTTACAGGTGTTTGTGACCCATCATGTGGTGCTGGGAACTGAACTCAGATCCTCTGAAAGAGTAACAAGTGTTCTTAGCTCCTAATTCTGCCATGCTGTTCTTACCAGAAGATCAAACAATTTGTCTGTCTTCCCAATTCCTCCGAGGCTGTCTGGGCCTCTGGTGACTGTCTCAGAAGGGTGCTAGGTAAGCATTCATCACCCAGAATTGGTTTTATTGGTCTGAACTCCATTGCACAGGGAATGGAATGAACAAATTCCTCTCTGTGTCACCCATCACCCTAGAGATGGTGAGGGCAGGGAGCATCATGACTCTGTTATACAGGGTACCCAGAGGAGGCCTCATTGATTAAGGAGACTGGGGCAGAACCTCAAATGGACATCAGGGAAAGTTCCAAATAAAGAGAATGTGAAGCCCTAAAAGCTATAGGAAGAGGGAGCTTACTACCACTGCAGTCCTGTTGTGAGTTTCCATATCGTTCCCGACCTCCCCTTCTCTTGAAGAATCTTGCTGCTAGCTGTTGTTCCACATACCCCGGCTGTCACATGCCCCCCATTGTGCCACTCCCTGACATGCCATGGGACATTCCTAGTGCTCTTCATTCCTATTCCAGTCTTCAGTGCAAATCTTCTCTGCAGTTGGCTTTCTCACATAAGTCTTCTTTGGGCTACTCACTTACCTGCCACACATACTTTATAAAATGAAATTGTTTGGGTAGTTGGCATAATTTTTCCACATTAATCTGAAAGGGTCCAAGGCATCTTCCCTTGGCAGTTTTCTGGTAAATGAACATGGAAGAAGTGATGGAACACAAGGAATTTTCTTTCAAGCCTTTTTCTCTGTCAAAGTCCTAGAAATGAATCCTGACAATAAGGGATATCTCCAGGCTGACATCCAACCCTACAAATGGAAGGATCAGGGCCCACCTTACCTGGGAAGGAGCTGGCAGGGCACAGGCTCTGAGGGTCCTCCCATACTCCCCTCCCCTGCTTCTGGATCAAGAGGTTGATTTTGTTTACCTGCCTCTGAAGTGTTGCTGCCTCTGGGGAGGCACTGAGTATCCAAGCAAACAGAAAAGGCCAATGAGGAGAGAGAATGTGAGCCATGCATCCCCTCTTGCTGCAGCAGTGGTAGAGTGGTAGAATTCAACGACCTTCACAGAGTCACACCAGACACAGCCCTCAGCACCACCATGGAAGGCCATTGGTTTCTTGTTTTACCTCCTTCTAGGCAGTTGTCTGCCTGAATTCAGGGGACACCCAGGAGGTGCTTGGCCAGTTTTGCAGCAAATCCTGAGGGATGAGTTCATTGTAGGCAAAGTGAGGCAGTGGCTAGTAGAGCAGAGGACAATGGGCCTAGGCAGTGTGGCCTTCCACAGGCAAGGGGACTCAAAAAGGGGCTGCAGCACCAGAGTTCTAGTCTAGCCCTGCCAGGTGCCTCTCCTGCTACTACAACTCACAAGAGGCAGTCGTTACCTTAATTAAATTCACAGCTGAAGTGATATGGACGGTGGTGTGAGCACCAGGGAAATTGTCTTTATTGTATAAAGGGGAATAGGCAGGAAGTAACACAGTGGCTTCCACCTGGGAAAAGCAGCCAGCAGGCATTCTGAGGTTGTGGGCTCTGCCTTCAACTGTCCAGTGTCTCCAGGGCCAGCCAGAAGTGTCAGGTGAGCCTTACAACTCCAGAGTCCAGAGCAGGATTCTGCCATGAAAATGGCTGTGCTGGGATTATGAAGGAGATAGAAGTAGATATAGAGACCTGGGAGGGAAGGAAGGGGCTGTCTAGAGAAACAGTAGCCTTCAAAACCCATGGTCTGTGCTGCTCCATCCTCTGCCTGGGTCGCCCCACAGCAATGTGACCACACTGCTCAGTAGGGTAGCTGACCCTACTCAGGCATAGCTTTCCTTCTCTATCTCAGCTACCTGAGTGGCAGAAGGAGCTGAGACTAGCCAGGAAGGCCAGGGCCTGGCACTGTCACTGACCACTCCAGAGACAGGATTACTGCTTCAGCTCTGCAATAAGACAAGTGGTTTGGGCGCTCATGGTTGCTGCCCCTATGTCCTCCAGGTAGGATTCCTGAGAGTGCCCTTGACTTCAAGAGCATTTGAAGCTGCCTACAATATTTATCTACTAGTGATAGGACTCTTTAAGTCATTAACTGATTCCAGAGACCCTGTCATTACTGGTCAGGAGACACAGACCACTTGATGTCTCCAATCATGGGGATCCTCCAATTATGGTGAGGCTTCTGAAACAGATACTACCTTTGCTTTTCTGGGTGCCCTGTTGACCTGGACCAGCAGCTTGGAAGAGAGATATTAGTCCTGAGTTCCAAACTTGCTTATGTGGGTGGTTCAAGGTTAGCCTTGTGGCAAACTCACTGAGCTTGCTACTTATAGCCTCCACATCTGTGCCTTGTCTCCACAGGTAAAGGGAGTCCCAGGATCACCAAGCCCAGCAACTGTGTCATCTCTTGAGCTTCAGGGTAATGGTGGGCAGGACCTGCAGATGCCCACTCATCCTATCCTGTGCTGCAGAGAGCATGGCCTATATCTTTCACTGGTTTACACGTCAGACCCAAACCAGGCCTCCTACCCTGCAGCCTCCATCCTGGTCTTAAGGCCTGAATCCTAGATGGCAGGATCTGAAGCATCTCAACCATCACTGCCTCCAGCAGACTGCCATGACTGAACATGGAATACTACTTTGTTGCATGAAGTAGAAGCCTGTCTGGTGTCTGGTATCCTCTATGCCAACCTCTCCTCCACTGGGCCAGCCCTGTCCTATAGGTCCTCTAGTGGGAAAAAGACCATTCTTTCTGCCTTGGTAGGACAGGATGTCCAAGGCAGCCCCAGTCACTTGGCTTTTCCTTGCACTTCTAGTGATGTCTAATTCCCCATACCCCAGAGGCTGGTGGGAAAAAAGGGAAGAAGATGGGACTCAGAGCCAGTCTTGCTCTAGCCTTGAAACTCCAGGAGGAGGATATAGCTGGAATAGCAGGGACACTGGCTATTGTGGCCTTAGGGACACCCATTCCTGCTGGCAGCTGGACTAGTCTCTGAGTGGAATGGGGATACTTCGGTCTCCTTCCAGCTAATGGCAGGATCCGACAATGGTGGTGAAGAACCCCTTTCCCTTCTGCACTGCCATAGCAAACCTGGCCTGAGGGCCCTGGAGCTCCACAGAGTGCCTTTCCCTATGCCTGCTCTTTTCTGTAGGCTTTCAATTACAGACTCTGTGAAGGATGGGAGTGCAGGGGAGGAGGCTGGGCCTGGGGGACAAGAGCATTTGTGGTTCCTTCCTGATGGTTCCTCCCTGAGCATTTGCCTGACCTTCACACACTAGGTCATCCTCAGTGAAATTTCAGCCAAAGACCAGCCTGAACCACTTGCAAAATGTTCTTAGATGTCTCAGTTTCTCTAAAACTGTGGCCTAATTGCCACAGTAGTACTGCCAACCTCCTACACTGTGAATTGTACAGGCTGAGGGAAAGTGACTATTGACACAGAAGACATCTAACTGCAGAGAGAATGACACAGAGGCAAAGGGCCTCCAAACCAAGCTCTTGTCCCCTTTCTGAAAAGCCCTTGGGTACCACTAGTACTGGAAGGGACACAGGCATCCGCAAAGGCAGCTGGTGAGAGAAAGGGAGGGGCTCTGTGGGATGCAGAAGTGGGGCACTACATGGTGGTCTGTGCCTGTGTCTGGCCTCCTGGCTGATGGGGAATAAGAGGGACAACTAGAGATGGCCGCAGCCCAGAGTCTCCTTTGTCCACCCTGAGGTTAGCTTTGGGAGTGGCAAGGGGCTCCATGTGGCTTCCCAAGCCTTTGTAAGAATTAAACACTTCTGGTAAGTGCTTCCTGATACAAGGCTGGCAGTGTGGCATGTGCTTATTCCGGAGGAAATCAGGAGGTCCAGGTGACATGGGAGTGGCCCGTTACACTTCTGCTGCAATGGCCACCTGGAGATGTGGGATACAAGATACCTAAACCACAATGGGGAAAACAATGACCATGCTGAGGCCATCTTCTCTCTTCCCAGTGAGGGAAAGCTACTGCCCCTGGGTCAGCCCTCCTGGACAGGCAGCAGGAGGGAGACTGCCCTTCCATGCCATACCACTTTTCTCTCACTGAGACACCACATGCTTCGGTCATGAAACTTTCAAAGACTAGCTCAAGTAAAAATCTATCATGCAGGCTACCACTAACCCCAAGCCCATGTCACAAACATACTAGTGCCCTGCACTGCAAAATCTGTTGGGGGCAGGGGAGATGCTGTGCTATATACATGGGATGTGGCCCAGGCTGCCCTCCAACAGACTATTCAGTTCTGAATGCTGGGGTTACAGATGTGCACCACCACACCCAGCCTTACCTTGTGTGGCTTTGGCATAGCGCTTTTGGCTCTGAGGTTGCTGACCTGGGATTTTCCAGTCTTCGACATCTTTCACCTTTGTCCTGGTTACCTTGTTTAACTTTTCACTGCCTTATTCTCCCCAGGACAGGTGTATTTATGTGCACACATCTGCCTTCCAGTCAGCTCTCTATCAGATTTCCTCCCAATCTGTTCCCCTTCCTTCAGTTCCAGACATGGTAAGCACCATGGAACATACCTGTGCGTGCCCAGGAGTAGCCCCCTCCAAAAAGAGCTTGCTAGAGCTGACAGCAAAAGAACCCCCAGACTCAAGTGAGGCAGACAGTCTGAGTAAACATCACAAAGCCCCTGTCTGCAACTAATACGCCCCACCTGTGCCATGGCTGCAGTTTCTCATCTGATACTTCCCGACACTCATGCCGTCTTCCTCACAGGGCCCAATGGCTGTCCTGAATCATCCGTCCTAATTTCCCAAAGGCACAAAATTTGCTTCAGGGTGGCAACCTAGGCTCAGTGAGTTGAGCCTGACCAAGGTAGGAAGAACACACACCAGAGAAAAGCAAGAGGTGGCAGGTGCAGACAAGCAAGTGTTCATAGGCTAAGTCATGGAGAGGCAGACCCAATCAATGGTCTCATGAAGTTAGCCTCAGACTTCCCACCCTTCTTGTCAATGGTCTTGCTTGCCAAGCTGTAGAGCAGGGAAGGCTGCTTCCAGATAAAACTCCTTGGCCAGGCTCTGGGCACAAAGGCCACATCTGTCTGACCCAATTCATGACCATAGTATCTTCTTAATGTCTGTTGGTTAAATGCTTGAACAATTGGATGGCATGGCCAGAAAAATTGGTCAGTGTGTAAAAGCACTTGCTGTACAAGGATAGTTCAATCCCTGGAACTAAGGGTGGAAGAAAAGACCAGCTCCCAAAAGTTGTTCTCAAACCTCCATATGTACATGATGGCACATGTGCTTCATCGTCATTCACAAATACATATCTGAGTCCTTTCAGAGGGAAACCAAGAAAGACCTTGAGATTGTCAGGTTAGTTCAAAGTTACCCACATGTCATGGGAAGACTGGAGTCCAGCTATGGTAACATCCTAGTGCACTGTCTCTCTGCCTTTCTATTTAGAAACAAGTTTTTATCCAGGAAAGTGGTTAGAAGCTAGGGCAGTCACCAGGCAGTGGTGGTGCATGCTTTAGTCCTGGCACTCAGGAGGCAGAGGCAGGCAGATCTTTGTGAGTTTGAGTCCAGCCAGGTCTACAGAGCAAATTCCAGGACAGGCTCCAAAGCTACACAAAGAAATCCTGTCTCACAGAAGGAGAAGGAGAAAGAAGAAGGAGGAGAAGGAGAAGAAAGAGAAAAAGCAACAGCAGCTAGGGCAGTCTGAAGACACCCGAAAGCAGCTTCAGGAACAGGTGCCTATATCATAAGAGATGAGCTCAGAACTTCCATGGAAGCCACCAAGCATCTGGGAGCCGGAAGGAGGAAAAGCACACTCTAAAGGAAAGTCCACTCTATGCCCCAAATCTTGCTTTGTTGTTTACATTTCCCCACTGGCAACTTGGAGGTTAGGCAACGGAATAGTAACTGAGTGCCAGGCCTGGCACACAGTGACTGAAGAAGGCATAGTTTGAAAGCAGAGTAGAAGAAGACAAGAGGTGATGGCACACACCTTTAATCCAGCAATTGGGAGGCAGAAGTAGGTGAATCTCTGTGAGTTTGAGGACCAGCCTGGTCTACAGATCAAGTTCTAGAACAGCTAGAGCTACATGGTGAGACCAAGTCTTGAAAAACTAACAGCAAAACCACAAGAAAAGCATAGTGGATACATGTTTGTGGTGGCTTTCATGAGGTTCACTCAGGCACAATCCTGGCTCTTCCACTATATGGCTAGGTACCCAGCAGACAGAATTCGGGTTTCTTTATATGTCACATGGAGGAGACCCACCTGAGACAAAGGATCTGGCAGGCTTGGAGCTTCCAGAGCATTTTTACAACATTCTTCTGGACATCCAACCTGACAAACAGTCAAGCGCAGGGGGTTTGCTTGGCACATGGAGCTGAGTACTATTTGACCTGGAGGAAGTTTCAAAGGTGGAAAAAACTGTCAAGCTGCTGTTGGTGAGTAACTGTTGGACTGGAACCCGTGTGTACTCAGAAGGCAACTGAGTTCATGAAAATCTCACTTCCCTTGATTAATAGTTTTGGGTGAAACAAACAATTTTAGCTTGTCTGGAGAATACTGTGACTACACAAAATACAAAGAAAGCTTGAACCAAAGACAGTATTCTGTACTCAAAAAGCCAGCCAGCTCTGTACCACACCAGCCCTGTTTTCTTCACCTCATGGACTCCAAACTCCCAGGTGTTTGCCTGGCTTCTCTGCCTTTGGCTGCCCAACTACCCCCACACCTATAGGGAGGAGCTTCTAGCCTTCTAGAGTACTGGGTGCTGAGACTCCTAAGGAGCCATGTGGGTAGAGGCACTGGTAGAGAGCGGCTGCCACCTTGTGGCCAGCTGGCAGTTTGCATCAGACCCCTCTACCTCAGATGGCCAGGCTTGGGGTGGGCTTTGAGCCTAATGGCACACATTTCTGATCCCAGCACTCATAAGGCCCAGGCATCAAGGATCACTGCAAGTTCTAAGCAAGCCAGGTCTTCATAGTGAGACTCTGCCTCACCTTGCACACAAAGTTTCAGGCTTTTCCAACGTGGTGCCTGCCAAGACTACAGAGTAGCACTATAGCAGCTGTACACCGTACATAAATAAATGGGCACAACTGAGTGACATACAATTGTCACGTATCACAAAATATATTCTCTCTTTTTCTTCTTTTTTTTGTCTTTTGGTTTTTTGAGATAGGTGCCAGCAAAGTAGACTCTGTGGTCCCACAGACAGCCTGCCACCTATCACCACAGCCTATGAGGTCAGGGTGACTTTTACATTTTAATTATATTTCTGGTGCGGGAACCATGAAAAGCCTAGAGAAAATCTTTTAGAATTGGAAGCATTGAAGATGGAACAATTAAGGACACATTTGAAGACTCAGACACATTATCTGTCCCCAAGACCTCTCTTTTGATTTGTGGAAGGGATATGAAGCAATTTCCCCTCAAGCCTTGTTGGATTGCCTCAAGTGAGCAATGGCAGCTGAGTGTTGGGTGTCTAACCCCATGGCCAGCCTGTGAGTAGGGTTGCTTCTACCCAGAGCTACAAAGAATGTGCAGGGCAAGGCTGCAGCGAGTGTGTGAAATCCCTTAAAATGGTGGGGGTGGGGAGGTTAAACAGAGCTTTAACAAAGTCCAGATTTCGGGGCAATGGTGGCACACACCTTTAATCCTAGTACTCAGGAAGCAGAGGCAGATGGATCTCTGTGAATTTGAGGCCAGCCTGGTCTACAGAGGGAGTTTCAGGATAATCTCCAAAGCTACACAGAGAAACCCTGCCATGAAAAACAAGAAGAGGAGAAGGATGGGGAAGGGTGAAGGAGAAGGAGAAGAAATAGGGGGAGGAGGAAGTCCAGACTCACAGGATTCAAGGAAGATAGAGCATGATGAACTGCAGAAAAAAATGGCACAATAGAGAAAGGGATGCCATGACCAGGCTGAGGGCTTCTGGGGAGGAAGCCATAATTCACAGGGTGTTTTCTCCTGAGTCTCACACAACCTGGACACGCAGACATGGCAAGTTTGTTTTGTTTTGGTGGTGGCTGTTTTGCTGTTTTTCTACCTTCATTAATTAAAAGCAATGTGTCCTTTGGCAATTACTCAATTGCCCTCTGTTGCCTTACTTTCCTCACATGGACAAATAAACTCATGTGTATAAAATGCTTAGACCCATGCTTGTCATGATGGCCAGCTTCATGTCCCACACAGCTGCACACTCAGAAAGTGATGTGTCCGCATTTAATATTCTACCATTACCATCTTGAAAATACTAATAATTTTCAAAATACCATTGAGTTTTCATTATGCAATTGTAACTTATGAAATTTCCTTATAAATTATGTATGCAGCCTGCCTGGCAAAATTTTTGTTTTCAAATGCTATGTTTGGGGCTAGAGATGGAACTTGGTGGACTGATTGCTTAGCATGCTTGAAGCCTTGGCTCCATCCCTGGCACTTTGTAAACTGGGCATGATGGCTTTCACCTATAATGTCAGCACTCAGGAAGTAGACAGGAAGATCAAAAGTTCAAGATCATGCTTAGTTAACTACATAAGGAATCAGAGGGCAGCTTGGGATACATGAGACCCTATATTTAAAAGTTTTTTTTAAGTTAAGTCATATTATTTTAGAGTCAAGAATAACAAATCAGATATAATATATTCCTGCACAGGGAGGCTGGTGACCTTAGAGATGAAGGCAGGATAAGGACCAAGCATCCACAGAAAGCCTGGAGAACATGCAGGTCCTTTGAAAGGGCCTACAGAAAAGATGGTAGGGAAAAAAGAGCATGAACAGTTGTAGAAGTAGGAGGGAAGCTAGTTATTTTGGGA